CGCGTAGCGCGCGTGTGCTTGCGAGTGTGCGCGCTCGTTTTCGCGAGCGCGTGCGACTCGCGAACGCGTGTGTGTCTGCGTATAATCACGATCGCGCGTGCGCGCGGGCGCTCGCGCGCGTGCGCGCGCGTGAGCGTGCGTGCGTGCGCGCGTGTGAGTCTGAAAATGTTTGCGTGTGTGGGTGTGTGTGTGTGTGTGCGCGTGCGCACGTGTGCGCGTGCCTGCGCGCGCGCGCGTGCGCGCGCTTTCGCGCGCGCGTCGCCCTGCTCCCGCCGGGGCGGGGCGCCGCCTGCCCTCGGTTGCAGTGCGCGCGCGGGCCTGGGTCTGGCCCCGCTGTCCCCCGCCGTTCCTGCTCGCCTGCGGTTCCGCGGGTGCCCCCGCTGCTGCCAGCCCTCGCGCTGCCGCCCCAGCCGCGCGGTCGCCCTGCCTCCGCCCTCGCGGCATTCCCTGCCCTGGCCCGGTCGCGCGGCCCCCGCTTGCCTGGCGGGCGCGCCCCCGCCGCCCACCATGGGCCGCCCACTCCGCCATTGCGGCCGCTGCCTTCAGCAGCTCAGCCCGCCCCGCTGCCCAGCCCCGCCCCGCTGCATTTTGCCGCATGGGGCGTTCTTCGGTTCGGCAACCGCTGAATCCCGCGCCCCCCTCCTCCGCTCGCTGGTCGTCGACCGCCCGCGCTGCAGCGCTACCCTAGCCCGCGGGCGCGGTTGCGGCACCGCTCCGCGCCCGCTGCCAGGGGCGCGGCGCCGGCACGGCGGGCGCCGGCGCCCCGCCGCGGCCCCCGCTGCGCGAGCGCAGTTGCGCCCCCCCCCCCCCGCCTCATCCACTCTCTTCCCCCGCCCCTCACTCTTGCGCCCGGACAATGCGCGGCGCCGTCGCCCAGCTGGCCCGGGCGCGCGCGCGGGTCGCCTCCGCCGCGCTAGGACGCGATCAAATTCGCGAGCACGCGCGCGCACGCGTGCGCGCGCTTCTTATTGCGCGCGCCCGTGCGACCGTTGGGCCCCGACGCGGGCCGCCGCGCGTTCGCGCCGGGCCGACCCGATCCGCGCGCCATGGCAGGCGACGCAGACGGCGGCGGATGAGGGGGGCACGCGGGCGGGGCACGGCCCGTCTTGCAACCGCCCAGCACCGGCGCAAATCCGCGGGGTGATCTCGACGCACCCAACCACCAGGACCAACCACATTCCTGCACTGGCGGAACCAACCTTGGCCAAATACACGCATCGCACCACCGCCGCGGAGCCGCCGGGTCAGCGCCGCACGCAGCCCGCGCTGCGCGCGCGCAATCACGGCGAGGCACTCTGTCAGACAGTTCCAGGCGGCGCGATAGGGCGGCGACTGCACAGCGCGACTCCTCGCAACGCTTGCGGTGACACGCGGAGGCCGTTGCGCGCGCCGCGAGCGCGCGCGCCCGCGTTTGGGCGCGCGCGCTGCCGTGGGCGAGGGCGCGCGACTTGCCGCGAGATTGCCGGCCCCCCTATGGCATTCTCGGGCATCCCTGGATATGTCGCGGCGCACGGTCATGCCGCCGCGCGCTTCGCGTTGCCGCCAGTGAGGACGGCGTTGGCGGGGGGTGAACTGCGGCGACTCAGCGACTTCCAAGCACTCGCCAACTCCTCCTTGAACTCGGCCTTCTGCTGGCCCGTGGACTCTTGAGCCTCCTTGATCATCCTCGCGGCAGCCTCCTCCATCGTCAGTCTGGCCCTTTTCTTGCTCAGCGTTTCAATCGACGCGTGGGCCATCGCTGCCCGCCGCAGCCGCGTCTACAGCGCCGTGCTCGAGCGGCTCGAGCGACCTCGCGACGTCCTGCGCGGGCAGCTCGGCGGGCGCGGGGGGGGCCCGGCGGCGTCTTGCCAGGGGCCCTCCCCCGCGTCGCGTCGAGCGCACCTTCGCCCTCGGCGGCTCTCTCGACCCCTCCAGGTGGGGCAGGCAAAGGGAGGCGGGGGCGCGAGGGGGAGCGAAGGGGGGGGGAAGGTGAAGAGGAGAAAACGGAGGAGGCAGAGGACAAGTGGGCAACGTACAACGTCGAAGAGAACACAGCGGAGAGGGGGCCCAGAGGACAAGGAAAACGAGGCAGAAACGGGAAGAAGACGGGGGGGGGAAGGGCGAGGAGGAGAAGGCGGACGGGGGGGAAGAAAGGATGGAAGATGCCATCGGCGGCGGCACGGGGGGCGAGGCGGCGAACGCGGCGGCCAGGGTGGGAAGGGGGCCGCGCGCGGGGCGCGCGGCGGTAGGAGGGTGGCCCCAGGGAGAAAATAAAACGACGACCACGAATTAGAGGCAGGTGGGGAGACGGAGGGAATCCGACCCCGACCCCTCAGATCAGCGGGGAATCCCCCGGGCGTCTTTCCTTCTCCACGCCCTTGCTGAGGTCCGCCGACGCGCGGGTCCATTGCCCGCGGGCCACCCGGGCCTGCGAGAACGCTTTCTTGAACGCCCCATCGCAAGTCGATGCCGCGGGGCCGCGCGATCAATAGCGGCGCGAACCGATGTCACTGTTTCGCCGCGCAATCCATCGCGCGGCCCCATTCCTCACCTTGGTCGGCCGCGCGCCGAACACTATCTGGTCGCAACGTCGCACGGCTAGAACGAACAGTTTGGCCCCGCAAAGCCAGTCGGTCAAGCGACGCATGACACGTGAAGTCATCCTCGATGGTCGGCAGGCCACAGACACCGGATGGACTCTCTGCAGCAGACGCGGCCGCCGCAGGTCGCCGAACCAGCAGGAGGCGCGCTCTGCGCGGAGGAACGGCCTCGATCAGTTTGGCCTCGTCGGCTGGGGCGCGCTGGATTCTGATTTTGGCCCCGCGCTTTTGGCCCGCGCATCTGCCGTCTTGGCGGGATCCGGCGCGGCGATCGGCGGCGCCTGTCCCCATCCGCTGGCCGGCTTTCCAACGGCGCTGACTAGGCCGCCAGCACGGCCGCTGGCTCGCCCGCCGGCTGGTCCGCCGTCGGCTGCCCGCCGGCGGTCCCATGGGCGGCGAGGGCCCCGCGAAGTTCCACATAAGGATCGCAGCGCGGGCCTCGCCCGTGAGGCCCTGACCTGAGCGCGGGAATGGATCCGAGCAGCGCAGCGTCGCTGCTGAACTTCAACCCAGAGAGTCTCGCCCATCCTGTCGCTCGCCGCCTTGGGTAACGGATCTCTCTCGCTGGGGCCCGCTGACTGCAGCATGCCACAAAAATCACGCTGCCTGCGCCCAGCACGCGGCGCCATCGCGCGGCAAAGCTGCCGAACTGTAGCTCTCGGGCCAGATTTGTCGTTGATGCAAGACTGAGGGCTCGGCGCGCGCGGGGCCTTCGCACAGCGGTACTCGACATTAAACGCCCCGTCGCTGCGCGCGAGGCCGCGACCTATCAAAACTGTCCACGTGTGTGCATGTGTATGTGTGTATGTCTGTGAGTGCTTATGTACGTGAATGTGTGTCTGGTGTGTGGGGTGTGTTGTGTGCTGTGTGTTGTGTGTTGTGTGTCTGTGTGCCTGTGTGTGTCTGCGTGTTTGTGTGTCTGTGTGTCTGTGTGTCTGCGTGTCTGTGTGTCTGTGTCTGTGTGTCTGTGTGCCTGTGTGTCTGTGTGTGTCTGTGTGTCTGTGTCTTTGTGTGTCTGTATGCCTGTGTGCCTGTGTGCCTGTGTGCCTGCGTGTCTGTGTGTCTGTGTGTCCGTGTGTCTGTGTGCCTGGGTGCCTGTGTGCCTGTGTGCCTGTGTGTCTGTGTCTGTGTCTGTGTGTCGGTGTGTCTGTGTGTCTGTGTGTGTGTGTCTGTGTGTCCGTGTGTCCGTGTCTGTGTGTCTGTGTGTCTGTGTGTGTGCCTGTGTGTCTGTTTGTCTATGTGGTTGTGGTTGTGTGTGAAGTTGTGTGTGTGTGGTTGTGTGTGGTTGCGTGTGGTTGTGTATGTGGTTGGGTGTGGTTGTGTGTGGTTATTCGCGTGGTTGTGTGTGGTTGTGTGTGTGTGGGTGGGTTGTGGGGTTATTCGCGTGGTTGTGTGTGGTTGTGTGTGTGGGTGGGTTGTGTGTTTGTGTGTGGTTGTGTGTATGTGTGTGGTTGTATGTATGTGTGTGAGAGATTGTATTTGTGTGCGTGTGCGATTGTGTGTGGTTGCGTAACGTTGTGTTTGGTTATGTGTGTGGTTGAGTGTGTCGTTGCGTGTGCGGTGTTGTGTCGTTGAGTGTGGAGTTTCGTGCGTGGTTGTTTGTGGTTTTGTGTACATGTGCCTGGTTGTGCGATTGTGTGTGGCTGTGTGTGGTTATGTGTGTGGTTGTGTGTGGTTGTATGTTGTTGTGTGTGTGTGTGTGGTTGTGTGTGTGGTTAAGTATGTGGTTAAGTGTGTCGTTGTGTGTAGTTGTGTGTGTGGTTGTGTAATTGGTTGTGTGTGTGGTTGTGTGTGGATATGTGTATGTGTGTATGGCTGTGTGTATGTGTGTGTGTCCGTGTGTGCGCGTGTGCGTGTGTGTGGTTGTGTGTGGTTGTGCGTGTGTCTGTGTGTATGCGTGTGTCTGAATGTGTGTGCTGCGCGAGCGTGGACGGGATCCCAACCCACGTCCACTGTCAGGACGCCTCAGCAATGGCCGGCCGCTGCAGCCATGCCTGCCGAAGCTCTTCGTGCAGTGAGTATCCTCCTCCCCCGCCCGCTTTCTGCGGCCGCTCTTCGCCTCCCTCCCTCCCTCGTGCCGCCAGACAATTCGTACGCCATGCCCGGGGCTACTAGAGCGCGCGTGCGGATTGCCTCTGCCGCGCTGCCGCGAAAAAAATGTGCATGTGTGTTTGTGTGAATGTGTGTGAACGTGTGTGAACATGTATAGTGTATGTGTGTGTGCGCACAAGACTGTCGAAAATCACGACTGGGGCCTTGGCCCCCATCTCACCGCGGCGGGCTCCGCGCCAGGACTATCCACTTGAAGGCCCGAGGGCCCGACAATTGGGCGAAAACGCCCAGGTGCAGAAGAGTCGAGAGGCTCAGATCTCAGGGCTTGATCAGAGAACAACCCACAATCAATTCTGTAGGGAGGAAGAGAATGGGGAAGGGCAAGGCGATGAAGACGCCAAAGATATGGGTGCAAGTTGAACGCATGCAAACCGACCCCCGGCCCCCAAGATGAGTAATATTTGACCAACTAGACCGCACGCGCGGGCCCCCACCTGCGGCAGCTGGCAATGGCCTCGCTTACAGGGCACCTACACTTACAGACATTCGCCATCATTGCAAAACGCTGGCGTGTAACATCTATTGTTGTGGAGGCTGGGGTCGGTTTCCCACTGTTCACGAGATGTCGGACCCCGAGAGGGTTCCCGTTCGAGCAGGGACTCCCATCCGACAAAGCACACCCATAGCCCTCCCTGGAATTTCACTCCAGAAATTCAGAGGGTCGTATAGGTATGTGTTAGTTCTCAGCTCGTGAGGGCTGTCAAGCATGGAAGGGGTCCACGGCCAGTGTGACGCCCGACGCTTCCCGTCTGTGGGGGCCTCTCCGGCTCTCCTGATGAGCTCTTCCTCCTCGTAGGGGGGAACGAAACGTTGGCCTGGAATCGGCAGCGCATCTCCGAGGGATCCGCGGCAGGCCCTGCCTACGGAAGCCGCACGTTCCTGGTCGGGATGGGGGAGCCAGACCCCGATTGGCGACGAATCCGCGACTGGGGGTCGACTGCAACCCCCCTCCCCAATGTCGCTGCCCCCGATCCTCGCTCCACTGCGACATCCACGGCAGTTCCTCCCTGTCCACGGGCAGAAGAGCAAACAAATGCACACGGTCGGGACACCCGAAAGGACACGGGCCTCCTCCGAGGGCAGCCCGTGCTCCAAACGTGAATGAAGAGGACCCCACACGGGACAGACCCGGCACAAAGGCACCATTGATTCGAGCAGGGCCGACCTACTGATCAATCAAGCAATCAAACCCGGCTGCACGCACAAGCTTCCGGAGGTCTGAGCGGGTTTCTCCAGTCGGCGCTGGTCTCCCCCTCCCTGGCGCAGGGAGCGCGACAGGGGCGGCGCCCGAGGCGCCGCCAGGGCTGTGGGGAGGTGTTTTTGTTCCGCCCCCCAGGGGTGTGTGTGGGAAAGCAAAGGCTCGGGAGATCCGCGCGAACCTCCGACAACTTATGCGCATGCCCCCCAGAGATCCGACGCATCGATTTTCCAATACGGGGCCCTCCGAAGCCCTGAAGCATTCCCCATGGCCGGCTTTGCACCGCGAGACGTGAATTGTCGACGGCCCCTGGCACGTCGAGGATCCCCGGAAGCCGAAAACGGCGAAAACCCGCCGTGCTGCTATGTCAATACGTTGGAGGACAGGGTCGTTGTTTGCTCTTCTGATGGCGCTCGACATCTGCGACACCTCGGAGGCGTTCTCGGCGCGGGCGTGGCTCGCCATCTCGTCCCTGCGAGATCAGCATCGGATCGGGAATCAGGAACGTGCGTGGGATCGGGCAGCAATGGCGCGGAGCCGAGATCGGCTCGTCCAGCCGCGCCAAGATGAATAATGATGCCATGCGAGCATCTTGCATTATCCGCATGGGCCGAGACATCGGGATCGCATCAGACCGAGCGGGCTGGAGCCGATATCGACTCGGATCGATCGCATCGAATGCACCCTGCAGCCCTGTTGAAAGAAGAAGCAGATGCATTAGCAGACACTTTCGGAGAGCTGCCCGAATGGCTTACATCGGCGCTTGACCCTCCCTGGCGCAAGACGCGGCGCCTGAGGCGCCGCCAGGAGGACACAACACCGATTCCAGAAATCGGTACGGACATGCGAGAGTCTGTGCTTATCCTTAGGTCGACCATGTCCCCATACAGGCGGATCTTGGACGAACAAATACATATATATATATATATATATATTCCAAATATACTCAAAAGTAGTCAAACATCGTCCCCTGGCTATTGTTTGACTATTTTTGATACTCCTCCTGTAGAGGGTCAGGCACGACTTAAGTTTATCCGGATATTTCTGAATCGAGCAGGCACGACTGGGGATGACCAGCTCAGAGGAAAAAAAACATCGAGCCTGCATCGGCGATGCATCGCCGATGGAGCGGCGATGTGCCCCGATAGCCACTCCAACGGTCCTGGGCGGGGTGGGCTATCGGGTCATTATCAGCGATGGACGGGCCATTGGGGGTCGATTCGTCCCCCTGAGCCTACCTCGGCGGCGCGCCGAGGTGGGCAGGCAGAGGGAGCGAGACTTCCCAAAGGGCTCAGAAGGCCTGAGAAGTGTTCTAAGCCTCAGAAGGCTGGGGGGATTCTGAAAAGCCCCGCCGCCTTCTGAGAAGGCCCGCCCCCCCTACTTTCTCCCTCGGCGCGCCGCCGACTATCCCCCTACCCAGAGGCCTCCCAACTGGGGTCCGAGTTCATGGGGTCTGAGTCAGAGGATCGCGCCGCATCGCCGATGCATCGCCAATGCATCGGCGACGTCGGCGTGGAGAACATCTGGCTCCAGATGGAGCCACACCGCTGATGCATCGGCGATGCGGCGCGATCTTCAGATCCAAATGAAGAATTGCGGGTGATAACTGATTCCTCCAACTGCTGTTCGGGACGATCGGGACGCCCCGGAACGCCCTCTGCGAGGCGCAGCTGCTGGAACGCATCCCGAGGCAGGAAAACCGCAGAGGATCAATCAAAACACCCAAAGTGCTCGAGCTCGAACCCGAAACTGCTGGACTTTCCCCCCAACGGTGCCCCTGATTCTTGGAGGATCGAATCGATCGAATTCGATCGGATCGACTCTAACCCGGCCCCGCGGCAAGGTAGCCCTAACTAACGTTGCCCCTGACTTTCAGAGAATCGGATCGATCGGATCGAAGCCGACCCTGCCTCGTGGCGAGGTAGCCCTGGCCGAACTGCGCGGGCGTGCGCGCGGCCGCGGCGCCGGCCCTGTGCGGGAAGGGGCAGTCCCGCGGGAAGGCGTAGTGAAGCCACTGGGCGAACAGGCGGCCGTGCAGGGGGACCTTCGTTGCAAGAGGCTTCATCCCCAGACAGGCTCGCGTCGTGAAAACATCAAGGTGGAGGGATTGTATTGTGGCCATCTGCGGCCTCAGGGAGCCCTCGCCAGGCCCCAGGACACGACTCAGGAGGCAACTCCTGGCAGGTCTTCGTAAGAACGATGCAGGGCTATTAAGCCCAATTGCACCAGGCACGAAAGCCAAATTCGCCCAATTGAGCCCAAAATTACGCCCGACTGCGCCAAATTGAACGAGATTAAGCGGAAACAGACGGGCTTATTCTGGACTGGGCCGGTATCCGACCACGGGGGGCGCGTCGCACATATGTGTATATACACATATGTGTACATATACATGTATCCATGTGTATGTGTGTATCCGGCACCGTGCCCCCTGGCTCGTTGAGGCGTGCTAGAATGGCAAGTGCTGTCTGGTAGGGTTTTGTAGTCTTTTAAGGGCCCCCCACCACCTCTCCGCGTCGCACCTCATCGCGTGCACCGGCCAAACTCCTGAGGGGTCCCTGGGCGGTCATGGCGCCTCCCTGGGGCTTTCCAAAGCTTCCATGGCGACCCAGGAGGCCCCCAAATCGGTCCGGGAGGCCACCGAGTCGCCGGACGATCGTTTTTAAAGACGCCCAAGATAGCCTCAAGATGGCGCAAGGGACTTCCAAGGCGCTCCAAGAGGCCTCCAACAGGTCTCCCACGAGGGCCAGAAAAGGTACAAAACATTGAGTGTCCTTCCGTTATTGAAGAGAGTTGACGTTCACACCTTTTCGGCCTTCCGACGCTCCAAGATGGCCCAAGAGGCCCACAAGACCACCCCAAAATTGCCCAAGAGCCTTCCAAGAGGGCCCCAAGACGGCCTAAGAGCGCCCCGAGACTGCCCAAGAGGCGCCCAAAACGGCCCAAGAGGGCTCCAAAAGCGGCCCCAGAGAGGGAACACAAACCGACAACGCGAGCCTTCCGCCCAAACGTGCCCCTAGGAGGCCCCCAATGAATACCTGCCAGAGAACCCCAACCCAATCTGAAGACCCCAATTCCGGGTCGGGGGGGGGGGGGGACGGGTTCCAGATGTGTGTTTTGTCAAAGTTCCCAGAGCCCCACCCCGCTGGGAATGGAGAGTAAATTCGGGTGTTCGGGTTTGGTTGGGGTGGCTTGGTGAGTGGTGACTAAGGGGCCCCATGAGGTTCCCAAGAGGCCCTCATAAGGCTCCCAACAGGCCCCCAAGAGACCCCCAGACGGCCCCCAAGAGGCCTCAAAATTGTCTCCAATAGGCCTTCGAGAGGCCTCCCACGAGATTCCAACGAACATCCACCAGGCTTATAACCCACAACCCAGGCGCGGTGGCGGGACTTGTCGTAAGCAGCTGGAGAGATATATGTATACATACACACACAAGACTGCATTGGCGCTTCGCGCTATGCACCTTTGTCCTTGAAGTTCGGCATGCAGGCGGGATGGCAGGAAGGTCGAGCCGGCAATTTAGCGATAATTCGTTGTTGCCTTTTCTGGCATCGTCGTTATCATAATGTTATGCGTTATCCTTCCTCCATGCTTCTGTTTCTCCATTCTCGCCATGGCTTGCGCAGTCTCCCCATCCTCCTCAGTTCTTTTTTATGGAGGCTCCTCCTTGGAGAGCCTCTGGGGGCCTCACAAAAAGTTCTCAGGTTTTCTCAAGGCCTTTTGGAGGCCTCCTGGGCGTGTTCTGGGGTCTTCTGGGGGCTTCCTCGGGCCACTCTGTCTCCAACCGCGGTCTCTCTGAATGACTGGGTCACGATTTGGAATGCTTCAGAGCGAGTTTTCGGGCCATCTTGGGCCGCCATGGGGCTCTCTCAGGGCCATCCTGGACCCCTGTTGTGCCGTTTGGGGTTGTCTTGGACTGCCTGGAAGCCCTTTCGGATAGTTGTGGGGCGATTTTGGAACCTCCCAGGCGGCTTCGGACGCCCAGAAAACCGCCGTCTTGGAGCGTCGGGAAGCCGAAAAGAGGATAACCCCCAAATTCACCGAAACCAATGGATTACGCTACCGAGGAACCCCACATACTTATATTATGGCTGGAGTGATGATAGCTGAAGTGAAGCATGTGAGAATGATGTTGGTGGCCGTTGCCCCGCCGATACCGTTGGTGACGCCACTCAAGAGGAGAAGTGGAAGAGAAGCGCCGCGTTCTGCGCCGTGGCCCGCATAGACGCCGCGTTCGAGGACCACCCCCTGAGCACCCCCTGTGGTGTCGAGAATATGCCGTGCCTGCCACGCCCTGCGCCATGACCCGCATAAGCGCCCCGCTCGGGGACCATTCCCTGCGCACCCCCGGTGGTGTCGAGAATATGCCGTGCCTGGCACGCCCTGCGCCATGGCCCGCATAGACACCGCGCTCGGAGACCACCCCCTGCGCACCCCCTACGAGATCGAGAAAGTGCCACACCTGCCACGCCCTGCGCCATGGCCCGCATAGACGCCGCGTTCGGAGACCACCCCCTGCGCACCCCCTACGGGGCGAGGAAAGTGCCACACCTGCCACGCCCTGCACCATTGCCCGCATAAGCGCCCCGCTCGGGGACCATTCCCTGCGCACCCCCGGTGGTGTCGAGAATATGCCGTGCCTGGCACGCCCTGCGCCATGGCCCGCATAGACGCCGCGCTCGGAGACCACCCCCTGCGCACCCCCTACGAGATCGAGAAAGTGCCACACCTGCCACGCCCTGCGCCCTGGCCCGCATAGACGCCGCGCTCGGAGACCACCGCCAGCACACCCCCCTACTACGAGGTCGAGAAAGTGCCACACCTGCCACGCCCTGCGCCATGGCCCGCATAGACGCCGCGCTTGGAGACCACCTCCAGCGCACCCCCTACGAGGTCGAGAATATGCCGTGCCTGCCACGCCCTGCGCCATGGCCCGCATAGACGCCGCGCTCGGATACCACCCCCTGCGCACCCCCTACGGGGTGAGGAAAGTGCCACACCTGCCGCGCCCTGCGCCATGGCCCGCATAGACGCCGCGCTCGGAGACCACCCCCTGCGCACCCCCTACGGGGTGAGGAAAGTGCCACACCTGCCGCGCCCTGCGCCATGGCCCGCACAGACACCGCGCTCGGAGACCACCCCCAGCGCACCCCCTACGAGATCGAGGAAGTGCCACACCTGCCACGCCCTGCGCCATGGCCCGCATAGACGCCGCGCTCGGAGACCCCACCTCAGCCCCCCAGCCGCGCTGCGAGCCTGTGCTGCGCTGTGCTGTGATGTGCAGCTGTGTGCTGTGCTGAGTTTTGCTAGGCTGTGTTGTGCTGTGCTTTGCTGCGCTGCGCTGTGTTATGCTGTGCTGCTTGTGAAGGAGAGGGGGCAGGGAGGGAGGCGAGCTGAGAGCCGCGGGTGCGACGCGTGTGGGTGAGGAGAAGAGAAAAGGGAAAAGGGGCAAATGGCGGTGAGTAGGCGAGTGAGCGTCGCGGGTGGGACGCGGCAGGGAAGAAAACCAGAACCCCACGAAACATGTGGAGGAAAAATCACAGATGTGTGCCTCTTGGGTCCTTCTTGGGAGTGCTCTTGGAGGCCTCTTGGGACGTTTCGGAGCGATCTTTGGGGGTATGACGGCTTCGTGGGCGTAGTCGTGGACCGTATTGGGGCTCTCTGGGGTCGTTTCGGGAGCGCGCTGGAACGCCTGGAACCCGTCTGGGGCCGTCTTCGGGTGCTGGGAAGGCTTGGCGAAACGCCTTGCGAGGCCCGGGGGGCCGCTTCGAGGCCCGTCCGGAGGGTCCCAAAGCCCCAGATCCCGGGAGTCTGTTTTTTTTTTGGGGGGGTCCCCACGCCCGGGCTCTTAAAAATGTAGGAAGAGGAATAGGCACACCAACGTATCAGCATAGGTATGTACACATGTGTATGTGTACAAATTAAACTATGACTTAAAAGTAAATACATATAAACAATATATAAACAAAAGTGTAAACACACGTGTACTGAACCAAATATACAGATACCAATAAGTATACTTGTGTGTACGGGTGCATGCATGTATGTACACACTCTGCATGACTATATTAATACTCACCGATGTGCATGCATACAAGCATACATGCATGCATGCATGCATGCATGCATGCATGCATACATACATACATACGTATATGTATACATACATGCATGTATGTACGTACGTGCGTGCGTATGTAAATATACATCGCTGTATGTACGTGCGTGTGTTTGTCTGTATGTGTATGTATACATACATGCATGAATGTATTGATGTATATGCGTATATGTGTACGCAAATAAACTAAATGTATAAAGTATGCATGTATGTGTGTATGTGTAGAGGCATGCATGCATGTAGGTGTGTATGTGTATGTGTGTATGCATGTATGCATGTATGAGTGCATGCACGTATACGTGTATGAATATATATATATAAATATATATGGATGTATGTATGTATGTATGCATGCATGTATGTACGTATGTGTGGATGTGTGTAGGTGTATGTATGTAGGTGTATGCATGTACGTATGTACACGTGTGTGTATGTGTGTGTATGTATGTATGCATGCACGTGTGTATGCACGTGCGTATATACATACATGTATATACATATATATGCGTGTATGTATGTATGTATGTGTGTATGTATGTATAGATGTATGTATGTGTGTATGTATGTATGTATGTGTGATTGCATGTACGTATGTATGTGCGTACGTATGTATGTATGTGTGTATGTATGTATGTATGTATGTATGTATGCATGCATGCATGCATGCATGTATGTATGTATGTATGTATGTATGTATGTATGTACGTACATATGCATGTATATGCATGCCTGCATGCATGCATGTATGCGTATATGTATGTATGTATATATGCATGCGTAAATGCATGCATGTATATAGTTACGTATGCGTACATGCATGTATACATGCCTGTTTAAGTGTATAGATCCGCAACCGTGGCGCTGGAAACGGAGTTGGCGTGCCCTCAAGTCCTTTGTCTAATCCCTCACGCCGCAGTCCTCACTCCTGCATCAAAATTGCAAACCTCCAGGGACTTCCCGCGGCGTGTCGCACGACTGGTTCGGGCCCGAGAAGTCCCAGGAGGGGCCAAGAGGGCCCCAGGACACCGAGTCGCCGAACCATCGCTCCAAGACGCTCAGGATAGCCCCCAGACGGCCCGAGAGACCTCCAAGAAGCCTCCCAAGATGCCAGAATCATTGATTTGCCAAACAGGTGTCAAAAGGTTTTGGCGTTCTCGCCTTTTCGGCTTCGCGACGCCCCCAGACGGCCCTCAAGGCCCCCAACATCGCCCCAAGACGGCCCAAGAAGCCTCCAAGAGGGCCTCAAAACGGCCCAAGAGGGCCCCAAGACGGCCCAAGAGGTCCCCAAGACGGCCCGAGAGGCCCCAAACAGGGCTCCAAAAGGGGGCCAGATGGGTGACCTGAACGGGCATTTCGAGCCCTCGGCCCCTACGGACCCCTAGGAGGCCCCAAGAGACCCCACACAGGTCCCCAAGAAGCCCCAAGAGGCCCCCAAGGAGCCCAAGAGGCCCCTGAGAGGTTCCCAGGAGGCCCCAAGACTGCCCCCGAGAGGGCCCCGAGAGCGCTCCGAAAAGAGACCCCAAGAAGCATCCCTGAGAACTCTGAACTAGGACCCAGGCACGGTGGCGGATGGGCCGATGGCCATTAGATATGTGTATGTATGTCCACTGGCAGCCGAGGTCCCCGAATATCGACCCCCAGGCGGTGGTCCTGGGCAGTCCACAGCCTCGGACGATCCCCGTCCCCACTGGCATGGCCTTGGGCACACTGGCCGACTTACCCCCCCGGGTGGGGATATGTGCGGGTGCGTGGTGGGGGGACGGCATCAACGCACGCGTGCGTCCCAACCCTGAGATCCGACGGCGTAACATAATGCAACATCGTGACATAACATTGCACCAAAACCCTGGACCCAATCTTTCTGCGGCATCTTTCAAGCCAGATCGGTCCGTGAGGGTACCACAGCCGCCCCAAACAGGCAAAATCGGCCGTCGTGACAAAATGCGACGCTAGGGTCTTAGAGAACCGTAGCCCATAAGTGTCTTCAGACCCCCCCAGTAGTGGAAACTAATTTTCTTCTCGACGTCTATATTGGCGGGCAGGGGTCCCACTAATGATGGAAAAAACTGTTTCTCAGCGGCGCCCGCCGCTCAACAACGACGACGACGACGACGACGACGACGACGACGACGACGACGACTGCGATGACGACGAGGAGGAGCAGGAGGACGAGGAGGAGGAGGATCAGGAGGAGGGACGTTCTAATCCCCGCCGAGAGAAACAGAGGGGGAGGAGCAGCACTAAAGACCCTTAGGGGTTACGCATCTGGGCCCAAGAGCCGCACAAAGCGGCACGCGGCGCAACCTGAGAATACCGCCTGCACATGCAGAAACAACTAGGTCACCCAACTTCGCGCATCGCGCCCCGCGATGAGCGATGCGCGGTTATTCTCGCGCCCTCGCGCCGCCCTGGAGAAGGATGACTCTCCATCAGAAGGCGCGGCAGGCGAAGCGCGATTATCTTCGCGCCCCCGCCGGTGACCTATGTACGCATCTGGGCCCGAAGGCGGCCAAAAGCGGCGCGCGGCGCAGCCTCTGTGCACCGCCTAGCCGCCTGGACCGTGGGAAACGCTGTGCAATTTCAACGATCCTCAGAGCGTGTGGGTTTGCGCCAACGTGTGCTTGTCCACCGAAGCCTTCCAAGATGATGCAGCCGATGCAACGAGGGCGAACGGGGCAATCACACACTCGGCTAACACATGCCCTGATCGGCGACTCCGCAGGGTGGGTTTGCAAAGGATGTGTTTTGCAACCAGTACCCTGGGGGGCACCCTGGGGTGCAGGCGGGGACCTCGATAACGTTCTCCGCCGCGCCCCGAGGCCGGACAGCCTCGTGCCCCACGGGCCCCAACGACCCCGGTCGCAAACCACACCCCGGCGCAACCACACCCTTGCAGTCGCCGACCCGAGGATTATCGATGATCATCTGAGGGAGGGGACCTGGCCGCCGTGCGCGGAAGCGATCTGCTCGAGCTGCGCGGCGAGGGAGCCCTGGAGGCGTGGGGCCTCTTGGGGCGTAAGAGAGGGTGCCGATGCCGCTGCTTCCCTGGACCGCTCCTGAGGCGCGTTCTAACCAGCATCTCGAGGCGAATCCAGCCGTAGCGACGAGGGCCTCCCAGGAGGCCCAAGCAGGGCGGAACAACGACGGCAGGGCAGCTTTATCAGTACCTTTTCCTCCTCTGAGCCTCGTCGTCGTCGAGCGAGGCCTGCGACGTCATGTTGCCGACGAGCCGCAAAATCGCCTCGGCCGTGCCGACCGGCTCGCCGACGCCCGTCTCGAGCTCCCCGAGGAGGGCCTCGCAGGTGTTCGCGCAGCACACCAGGTAGTGCGGCGCCGAGACGATGCAGTTCGAGGCGGCCTGGATGTAGTTGGGAATGATGACCTCAGAGGAACAATACAGCATACGCCTGAGCTTTCGGAGCTCTGCGCGGATTTCTTGGATCTGCGCTGGACCCCCCCCTGGCGGCGCCTCCAGCGCCGCCACTAGAGCGCTCCGCGAGCCAGGGAGAGTCGGAGAGGGACCCAGCGCAGATCCAAGAAATCCGCGCAGCGCTCCGAAATTTATGCTTACGCTGCTCCTCGTCTTCGAGGTGACCTGCTTGCCCTGCCACGTGGACGTCTCGTCCAAGGCCCCGAGGTCGCGCAAGTAGGACTCCGACTCCGCGAACCGCCAGTCCGCGTCGAGCCCGGTGCCATAGAACCTCGACAGCGGCACGCGGCCGGTGCCATGAACGTCCATCGCGATGAGCTGGTCCTTCATCTCGGTGCACTCCGACTCCCAGAACGAGGCGAAGTTCTGGGTGATGCCCCCGACAATCTCGTGGGCGTCGTGGAAGGAGTACCGCTGCGCCAGGCCGCCGGCACCCCCTCGTGTGGGCGTGCGCTGCCTCGTGAAGTCCAAGGCCCGGACCTGGCCCTCGAGGAAAGCGACGATCGCTGGCCACCTCCAGAGCAACGCAAATTGCATAAACACAATTTCTCGGAGCTCCGCGCGGAATTCTTGGATCGGCGCTTGGATTCCCTCCCTGAAGCGCGTAGTGCCAGGGGCGGCGCCAGAGGTGCCACCAGGAGGTCCAGCACCGATCCAAGAAATCTGCGCGGACCTCAGAGAAATTATGTTTATGCCATTGTTTATTTTCGAACCTCGGGAAGGCACCCTCCAGGATCTTGGGGTTGTTCAGGAGCCCGGGCGTGACCGCCGGGGTGATCTGCTCGCCGAGAATCCACTTCATCATGTACTCCTGAAGGATCTTGGAGAGGCCGGCGCGAGTGATTTGGTCGTGCACCGGCCTCGCCTGCCTGTGGTACACCTGCTCGAGAAGCGTGGCCTCCGAGTCCCAGATCAGCTGCTCGAGGGTTGCGACCAGGTGCACCGCGTCTTTCAGGTCGAAGCCGTGCATTGCAACACGTTGGGACTCCATGGTTAGAGGAGCGAAGAGCGGCACAACCATGAACTTTCGGAGCTCCGCGCGGAGTTCTTGGATCGGCACAGGACCCCCTCCAGTGCTCGCTCCGCGAGCCAGGAAGCACAGATCTGAGAAATCGACGCAGAACTCCGCAAGTTTATGTGCGTGTCGTTCTTTGTTTTCCGAATGGTGGCCTCCACTAACGCTGGCACCTGCTGGCTGAGGATGTCCGCGGCGCCCCACTCCGACGCGTTCAGCGGGCGAGACGGCTCGAAGCCACGGACCATCACGGAGAAGCGCTGCACGAAGTAGCGGTACGCGAGGTAGCGCAGCTGCCTTCAAAGAAAGAAAGAAAGACAATGGCAGACGCGTGCACTTTTGGAGCTCCGCGCGGCTTTCTCAAATCTGCGCTGCTGAGTCCCCCTGGCGGCGCCCCTGGCGCGCCTGGGGAGCTGGGGGGCGCAGCTCCGATGCGGAGCTCCAAACCTTCCTGTCTATGCAAGTGTCTCGTTCCGCGATGCCTGCGCTCGATTCGCCCGTGCGCGTTCTTGGGCGAGGCCTTCCACATCGGCCAGAGCACGCGCTCGATCTCCGACAACTGCGCGTCGTCGACCTCGCCCCCACAGCTGAGGGCCTCCGCCATGGCGTTCTGGACCTCCGCCCTGAACGCCGTGGCGTCGATCTCCCCCCTGAGAGCACTCTTGCGCCCGCCGATGACGCTGGTGGCACGAGCTCCTCCCGGCCCGAGGAACAACGCAGCGCAGAGCACGCCAGCGAAACCGAACCTGTACTGCATGGTCTTCACTGGAGGCAAGTGTGCCAGAGGAGGCTTGGTACTGCGAGGCGGGGGGTCCTCCATGACCACAGCCTTTGGGAGCAAATGTCCTGGGGCCCCAGGGGGAGGTGGAGATGGACAGATGCTGGCCCCAGGGGGCCCGAACATGTCCACATTCGCCGCCTGACGAGGTCCCCGAAGGTCGATCCCCCCAAGCGATGGTCACCGTGGATATGAACAACCCGCCTCGGAGGCACGTGTTTGTAATAGTAAGCTGATGCAGCGTGAATGTCCGAAGTACGCAGGTTTGTTCGCACTCGGGCAGGAGCGGCCACGGAGAATGAAGGAACATATTTTGTTTGGGGGGACGGGTGAACCTAGCACGTAACCACATAGAATGGTGGCAAGATCTGGCAAAACCAGCCATGATCATGTAGCGTCGTAGAGAAAGCACTACGCCCTAGACATCGAAATCCCCGCCTCCTCCTCATCCCCCTTTCCGATCTTACCATTCTACCTACACAGCTTACTCTGCCTCACAACCCCTCCCCGCTCGCACTCCTCCTCTCCCTCCTTCTCCCTCTTCCTTCTGCTCCTCCTCCTCCTCGCTTTCACCACTTAGGTCTCTCCACCACAAGGCACTGACATATAATGCGTCACGACGCTGGAGCCTCGTCAACCAAGGAGAGTGTTGCGACAGTACTTGTTTTGAGGAGGGGGAGGAAAGGAGCGCATCCACCTGACAAACCGCCCAGTGTCAGAGTGACGCGCGCAGAGATCGAATCAGAAGGTGTGCTACAATTGCTGCTGCGACGGCACTCCTACGCGGACGTGCTGGTTGAATGAAAGCTTGCCGTGCCTCTAAATGTTGCTCAGTAGTGTGATACGACTAACGAACAGCCTTTTACGCTGCAGCGACTTTGCCTAGCGAAGGCGCAACGTCTGTCATGAGCCGCCTACTTCTCCGCTACTTCTTTCTCATTCCTCCACAGAAAGACCCCGTCAGGCAACCCCTCCCCAAATCCCCAGAGACCACCGAAACCTTCCACGAAACCTTTCAGAACATTCGTCCTCCCTCCCTCCTGGCACGCCAATGAATGGGAACGGAAATGATAGGGACGATGCCCAACAGCAAATGTTTCCGAGAACCGACAGCAATCGCTGTTGGTTCAGCAGGGGCCGACCATCCTGGCATTCCCATAGGCCTGTTACGAGCTGTTGTCAGTACCAAGGATGGTGCAAGGGCAAAACGGTTTCCTTAGAACACAAGACGATGCATACAAACAAGACGGCCTCAACCAGACATGTTCTAATACGGTACTTAGGGTCGTGCGGCGACGGCGCGCAAAGGTCCTGACACCGTGTCGATCCTTCAACCTTGAACCGATCGCGGCCCCGATCGTTCAAGGTGACTTCCATCGGGTCCACAGGCATTACCGTGCCCATCGGTGCTCCCGCGTCGCAAAATTAGTTCAACCTTGAACGCCTTCGCCGGCATTGCTGGCGCGCCATCGCCGCATGAACCTACCGTAGCGCCCCGTGCAGACCACAAGCGCGTCTCTTAGAACAGAATTTGGTGGGCCTGTCGGCAAGCCACGACGCCTGGCCACCGCTTGAGTTGGGCAGGCGACGCTCGCCCCGCTTCGATGACGCCCGCGGCGACACCCGCAGCGACTCCGGTCGAAGAACGGAAGAGACTGCCGTCAGCATATCGGCCACCCGTCCCGCTCCCTTCGAGGGGCAACGTTAGGAAGAGACTGGCTCGGGGGGCAAGCATCGAGCCAGACTCGGCGAGTCATCTTTGACAGATCGGCGATAGGCCCCCGACAGCAAAACCGCACGGTCCTGGGCGGGGTGGCTGTCAGGCCGCGATCGGCAATGCATGGGTGATTGGGGCAGATGCATACCCCCCCTGAGCCTAATCCCCCCCTGACGTTGCCCCTGACGTTTGACCCTTGCGTTGTCGTAGGGCGGGCGGTATGGAGGGTGACCCAAATGGGGGGTGACGAACAAGGCCCAAAAGGAGCTCTTTAGAGCCCCTTTTGAAGCCAATGGGTGCCCAAAACGGGCCCGCTTTCGACCCACTCCGCGGCACCGGCTTTTCATCCTGATGGTTGACGGTCCTGGAGCCTGGCGACGGCCCCAGGAGGCAGAAAATGGCAGAACCGTCTGCCATGATGTCACGACGTCAGAGGGCTATGGCGTCGATCCAAGAAATCCGAGCGGGCCTCCGAAAACTAATCTTTATAACAATTTATCAGATTCCAAGAATCGAGCATCCTCCCCTCCTAGATCCTCGCTCCTTGCGCCTGGCTCCTCGGTCCTCCTTGATCTCATCGCTAAATGCTTGATCTCGAACGGTAATCCATCGTCCCCCTCCTCCTCCTCCTCCTCCTCCTCCTCCTCCTGTTCATCCTCCCACCCTCACCATCACCAACACTATCAACATCGTCATCGTCCTCATCATCAGCATCGTCAGAATGAACATCCTCGCCAGTGTCATCATAATCCGCATCCTCGTCCTCATCAGCATCATCAGTACCGTCATCGGCATCGTCATGGTCATCATCATCGCCACCACAATCAGTATCATCATCATCATCGTCGTCGTCGTCATCGTCGTCCTAATCGTAATCGTCATCCCCATCAGCATGTTCATCATCACCATCATCGTCATCATCACCATAATCGTCCTTATCACCATCATCATCGTCCAGCATCAGCTTCACCATCATGATCACCATCATCAACGATCTTCATCATCATGATCAGCAGCAACATCATCAACATCATCATGGACATCATCGTCAACATCAGCATCCTCATCATTACCGTGATCATCAGAGTGGTCATCATCATCTTCATCAACATCACCATTATCACAACCATTATCATCACCAACAGCATAATCGTGATGAGCATCATCATGATCGTCCGCATCATCATCACCATAATTAGCTTCAGCATGATGAGCATCATCATGATCATCAACAGTGTTGATGGTCATCATCAGCAATCGTCATGATGATCACAGCATGAAGATCATTATCGTGATTGCCGCTATGATAATCACAATTGTGATGCTCAACGTCAGCATCATCATCCACAGCATGATCACCATCATCACCAACCTCAGCATGATTATCATCATCCGCATCATCATCATCACCACCACCATCAGCATTACCATCATGCGCATCATTATCAGCATGATCATCATGATCATCAGGATGACCACCAGCATCATCATCATAGTCAGCATCACGCCAATCAGCATCACCAGAATCAACATCGTGATCATCTATCATCCTCAGCATCACATTCATGTTCATCACAATCGGCAGCATCATGATCAGCGTCATGATCCTCAGCATGGTGATCACCAGCATCACCATCATCAGCATCATCAGCATCATCATCGTCATCATCATCATCAGCATGGTTATGATCATCCCAACGGGTATCGTCATGCCCACGATCATCGTCATGATCATGGTCATGATCAGCAGCATCACCACCATCACCCTGAAGATCGGCAGCATCATCAGTACCATCAACATGCTCGTCATCATCATGGTCAGCATCCGTAGTATAAGCATGATGAGCAAGATCATTGTCATGATCAGCATCTCCATCCTGATCACATCAGCATCGTCATCATCACCATCATCATCATCATCATCATGAGCAGCATCGTGATGATGACCAGAATAATCATCATCATCATCATCATCATCATCAGCATCATCATCATCATCATCATTATCATAATCAGCATCATCATCATCATCATCATCATCATCATCATTAGCCACACGTTCGCAAGCATCATCAGCAACATTATCATCATAAGCATCACCATGAGCATGATCAGCATGATCGTGATCATGATCGGCTTAATGATCACCGTGTTCATGATCATCGACATCATCAGCATCAGCATCCTAATCTCCATCACCATCATCATCATGATCATGCGCATGATCACCATCATGATCATCAACATCATCATCATCATCATCATCATCATCATCGCCACCATCATGATTCTTACCAACAACAGGATCATCATCTGCATGATCATCATCATCACCAGGAGGACAGTGGTCCGCATATGATCATCATCAGCAACATCAGCATCAGCATCAGAAATAGCATCAGGAGCAGCATCAGCATCATCAGCAGCAGCATCAGCAGCAATCATCAGCATCCTCATCATCACCACAATCAGCAGCATGATCATCATCATGAGCATCATCATGAGCATCATCATCATCATCATCATCATCATCTTCATCATCATCACTATCATAAGCATCACTACAATCACAATCATCACGATCGTCAGCATCGACATCAGACCATCTTGATCATGGTCATAAACATGATCAAGATCAAACTCATGATCGTGATCAGCATCATCATCATCATCATCATGGTGATGATCAAGATCAACGTATTGGTGACCAGCATCATCAACATGATCAGCATCAACATCATCATGATCAGCATCACAATGATCATCAGCATGATCATCATGATGAACATGATCATCATGTTAGTGGTAATCATGATCATCATGGTCAGCATCATCATCGTCGTCATCATCATCGTCATCAACTTTTTCATCACGACAACCAGCATGATGATGATCAGCACCTTCATGATCACGATCTTTCTGCTCATGAAAAATTTTGACCTTTTTCGGAGCCCTGCAAGTCTCGGCTTGAACTCGACCGAAAAACAAGACGTGGTGTACAACTCGAACAACTTCATAACTCCGTGTGGCCTCTGAGTGTGCTATGTAGCTGCCTCTGCAAAAGGCTGCCGCCAGCGCTGGCGAGGAACATGATCGTGATCCTGATCGTGATCAGTATCATCATCAGCAACATCAGCAACATCAGCAACATCATCATCATCATCATCATCATCAGCATTATCATCACTATAATCATCATCACCATCACCATCACCATCACCAGCACCAGCACCAGAACCATCATCATCATCATCATCATCATCATCATCATCATCATCATCATTATCAACATCACTATCACATCATCCGAAGACTCAGACCGCCGACGTCTTCATTCGCTCGATGCGGGGTTCCAAAAACTCTGGACCCATGCCCAGGACCGGCTCTTCATCACTAATTGTTTTTCACGGTCCAGAGCCCCGGAGAGGGCCCCGGGAGGCCGATAGCTACGAAGAACCTCCATCTCGAGCCATCGCTCGGACGTCCATTCCCTGTGCATCGGTTCCGTGTTCTCTGCCGTAAGGTGCTCCAAGATGCGCCTCGTCGAGAAACAACGCGC